AAGAGTTACATGTGCATTCACTAATTGTTTTTGAAAAATACAAATTTGTTGTATAATGCATGTTTATTTTTAGCATTGTGTTATTGCATCTGGTGTTAATAAAATGAACAAATGACTCTAATGAAAGCAATTAAAGAAACTGAAATGTTCTGCTAATTACCAAAATTCTGGGGAGGCTTTTTTGTATATAATTAATAATTTTGTATTATTTGAAATTAATATAGCAATAATAGTTTATAATGAAGTGATTTTGCATTTGGTTTGTTAATACATTCTTTGTAATATTTTTTTTTTCTCTGTAGCTTATAAGTTTCAGATGACCAACCAGAGTTTGGCAACATACACACTTAAAAGAGTATTTTATTAGTTGTGTTAGGCAAGTCCTTACGACACAAAGATATCTTAAATACGTTCCCACTCTAACAATGCCTACTTTTATTAGTAACTTTTTTTCATTATGATGGTGCTAGTATGTTGTAAATACTTGAATTAAGCTCCAATATCTCAACTGTCTTTTGTTTAACAGTATTCTAGTAGTTGGCTAGCGGCTAAATTTTTACTATCAGTTTAGGAAGCTAGATCTAAAAAATTTTCCTTGATTCACAATGATCAAGTTAAGCTATTTTTAGTACATAAGTGTTTAGACGTTTCTGTCACTACTGAAAAATGTGCGTCTTGCTGCATCTCTCTGGAAATCCAAAAGTGTAAAGCATGCTTCTGTGATTAGCAAAGCAGAAATATCCTGGCAGAAATAACCACTTTTTTTTTTTTTAATAGTAGATCTCATCCATGTAAGGAGGCTTGAATTTGGTTTGTTCTTTGAGGAAAGTGGATGGTGCAGGAATGTGATATTTGCATGTAAGTTTATCAAGGAACAGGGCAAATTAAGAGAACATTAACTTCTTTTTGTCTCCTCTGATTTGTGTTGCCCAGTGCAGTCTATATGTAGCCCTCACAGTACTGCAGCTTTTGTGGCGGCTGTTTGACATCTGAAAGGAATGGCCGGTACCTGTGTGCCGTAAGACAGTAGTGAGTGGCGTGGTGACCCCAACGTGTCCTTGAAGCATATGAAGTTGCACTTACAGGCTGTATGGTCCACTTGCAGTTGCTGTCTGAAGACATGCAATCTTGGTTGTTCTGGACAACTGCGCATGTGTTGCATGGCATACTGCTCCTACTCCTGCGTATTTCTGCCCTCTATTTACTAGATAGCAATATGGGCTCTTATATACATAATTGAATGTCATCTGATGCAGTAGCAGCTAGAAAGTGCTCCATCTCACCCCTCTTCTCTTTGAATCAGAGCTTCATTTCCTGTAGAGACCGTGACCTCTCCTTTATGTGGTATCCTACAGCTGCTCGAAAGAGAATTATGCTGCTTGAAGAATGAGAGAGAGAAATTAAGGTCTTAACATTCCTTCAGAAAGCTGCTAGTCTCTTGTTCCCTGAAGGCAGTAGGCTGCTACTGTTATTTCACAAAGCTCTCAGCAATATTATTAGGAGGTTATTGCATAAAATGAGATCGTGTCTGAACTTTTTTTTGCAAACTGGGAAAAAGAACTCATGTTCTACTGTGGAAATCACCAGGCTTTGCAGCGGAGCCAAGAAATTCCACGTTAATGGAAAACTTTCTCTGTAACCACAAAACACCCTTCATTCCAAGACAACCATACATGCACAGCCCTGACCAGGTGTGGTGTTCAGATAACCAGGCTTCTTGACATGGTCAGAGAGGAAGAGGGGGCATTTAGGCAGAATTGGCGGCACGCTTGCTGCCTGCGGCAGTGCTGGTGTGGTACTTCCCAGATGGCCCCCATGGCCAGCTCACGTTCTGGCTCTTCTGAACTGGTCTGCTGCAGCATTTGTCCTAGCTCCAAGTCTGCTATCCCCTGCTTTTTAGAACAGCAAAGCAGAGCAGCACACAGTATTGTTTGAGATAAATGATCGGTAAACAGAGGGAGGAAAACAAAAAAGAAAACATTTTATTTAATCACGAAGTAAAAAATTCCTGTGGCATGTGCTACATTTATATTTACCAATGTTCAGATTTATTACCTCCTCATTCACAAGATCTAGAAATACATAAATTAGGAGTAAAAAGTAAATTTTGCATTTTTACAGCAATACAATAAATGAAGAAGAGGGAAAAAATGCTTTGAAGACCTCAGCTTATTTTTAGGTGGAAGAACAGTTCCTAATTAATCTTACATTGCTATTTCATCCTTACCATGTGAGATTGTACATAAGCATGATTTTTCATGGATTTGTGTTAAGCTGTTTAGGAACAGAGCTTACTGTTACTTGGTACCTGCAGACAGCTTGGTATGAGTATTTTTAAGGTAAGAATTTCATTATAGTTTTTACTGTATTGAGCACATGCATGGCAAGTTCTTGAACTTGGAATAGAGCTGCTTTTTTCTTGCTGCTTTTGGGCAGAAGAGCATTTTTTCTGCATGAGCCGCCAATATTCCACTTTATTCTCTCTGATCTAGAAGCCCAGTGTCTTGCTGTTAAAATAACGAAAAGGGTTTCCCATTATTTTTGGTCTCTAATGTCCAATTAACCATGTTATAAAAAGCTGATTGAGAAAATGTCACACATAAGGCAGTCAGTTAAATTTAATCACTTTCAGTGTGTAGGCATTGCCAGATGTAGTGCAATAAAGTCAGCAGAGCATTGCTGCTGTTAATTTACCAAGGAGATTTACTTTCTTAAACACTTCAGACGTGAACACAAAATGCTATTTTAGGCTCTGATCTCCAAGAACGGCTGAGTGAAAGTTTCTTCTGCAGTTTAGTATCTGTGGAAACAGTGTTTTGAATTCTGTTTTATGGAAGTACAAGGTTTAGCTGGTGATGTTTGAAGAGTGACAAAAAGCAAGTGTTGCCATTTTCAAAACATTAACTGGTGCTAATTAACGGGAGCTCCACCCCATAAGCCCAGGTGTTACTTAGCCCAGGGTTAGGTTTATGCTGAGAGAGTGTTCAAAGCAGCTTCACTGGGTAAACTGGGAAAGTGAAAAGATGTGGGCTGAAGTCCTCTGGTTCAGCACTCAAGTGTGGTTGCTTAGTTTCTTGTTCCTTTCTTCCTGGAAGGGTGAATAATGCCTGCTCGGGCAGGGGGTATGGGACTAAGAGAGATCAAGTTTATTATTAAATTAATAA